AATGTAGGTCAAGGCAAATTATAAAGATGGTAAGAATGGCCCGAAAATATGTGTATCTGGTCTTTAATGTCATATTAAGTTAGAATGAATATTGAAAGGTTACAAAGCAGAAGTTATCACGCATAGCAAAATTCGTCACGCTAAAATACAGCAGCAATGGCGTGAAATCAACGCGTAGATGGAATTAATGACTTACAGTCGTCTGTGTGTCTCAAATCCCCATACGCAGGTGAACATGTATTTAACAAACTACCTCCTGTATGAATTTCATTAGCATCATTTTACTATTAATTGAAGTAAATAAAGGTTTGCAATTACGTTACAGGGATCGGTGTTCATCGTATATGTTCTAGTACATGTTTTATTTGGCATAACATTACAGATATATGAGACGTTTAAACTAAGACTCAGAGTTCAATATACAGTCGAGATCTCGTTAATTCACACGAGATGATATTGGTGTTTGGATAAGGATTAATAACTACACGTTGAGTAAACTGTAACGCTAACTCTTAAAATAATATGTATTACTACGTCTGTACGACAAAAGTATATATGCCGCGCAGCTTCAAATAAATTTAACGACATCGAATTTAAAAATGACATGATTCATTAAACTACTTGAAGTGGTTACACATATTTGTGTTGCTTAGAAGGATACTGTTTGGTCTCAATATATAACCTGACGTCACATCGATTTCATTGATCTTGTGTTTCTCGTTGATGTATTTTGTCGCATTTTATTATAATATTATTTTTATTATAATATTATTTACTATTAAAGTATACGATCAAACGCGTTGTTGTATATTATCTATAAGCATTGTTGTACGTTATGGTACTTGGCGTTAAACTGTGAAGGTAAAGACTGCTTTGCTTTTTGACTACGTCACTAACCCAATAACCGGTATGTTACTAATATAACGTTGTTTATATACATATAAAATTTATACTGATAAAACGACCGAGTATTCTGAAAGGAGTGTGTAACATATTTAGTCAAGGAGATGTAATGTGTAATATTACTATATACTAATTACTTAAACATAACCTCCATTGTACCCCCCACCCCTCATCAGAACAAAAGAATGTAAACCCAATAATGTAAACTGTGAACAAGGTCAAATGTTACTGTAGAGTAAACAATCGTGGTGTATGATTTATATGCCTGTACCCTGTACCTGTGTTTTCATGTTAACATATTTGATCGTCCAAACACTATTGGATTTATGCCAATAAAATTACAAACACACTCTCCTAGCAACTGTCTTCAGCTTTAGCATTCTTGCCATAGTTCTCTACAGTAGAACGTCGACGACAGCTTTAACCTGACTTGTTGAATTGTTTCTTTAAACGCCTCCAGTAAAATGAACGAATGTTCTAGTTACTGACTAGCTAGAATGGTCATAGGATTGTAATGGCTATTTTTCAGCTATCAAGTAATACTGCATTATTGCTGCTTGTTGTAACTGCAGGTAAGAACTATAGACCTTGTTTTTTTATTTGTTGTTTCTGGTTCTCTTTGCGATAAACTGAGAACGTTGAATTCTGTGCCAATCCTTTATTTTGATTTCAATTTATAAAGAGATTCCAACCTATTATTGTGTCTACTCACTGTATACTGGTATAAACCTGGTATCTATCAAGTGATATGATTTTAACCGTACCATAGCAACATCACTCAAGTAAGCTCGTTAGTGTGGTTATTATCGTACAACTATTTATGATATAAGGTCACTGAACCCATTTACACTGGCCATCTTTTCTTTGTTTGTAACCAATTTAAAATGAATTTTAATTAAGTATAACTGGCAGTGTCGTGCTCTACTTGTAAAGTAGTGTACTAAATTTGATTTACATTGCGTTAGTTTTATGGTACATCTATGCTGTAAATTATAATACCTGGATTTACATAAACCAAGGCTACAATAGGCAGGTTCACGTTCATAATCACATTACGTTATTACCATCAATTACGGGTTAATTAGTACATGTAATATATTACCTTGTTGTTAAAGCGGAAATACACAGAGACGGTTTATCTTATATTGAAAATGTTGAAAAAAAATACACCTTTGATAATTATATATTTACATTAATTCTGGTAAGTGCTCGTAGATCAACGTCATTAATTTTGTTGTTTTTTTTCACTTAGTTACAACACACGCCAACTCTCCGCCGAGCTTTGTGGCAATACCCGGCACAAACCCGACTAAATATTATAATATGGACAGGGATCGGTACAGCGAAGATACGCCTGTCGGTATGTATACATCTTAGCGTGTGTACCAATGCAGATTGAGATTCACATGTGCATGTATTATTTAATAAAAGAGAGAGGTACGCCTATAACCTACATTTTCAAATGTAATTGATTAATAGGTATGACTTGACCAATTTGAGCATGTCATATATTTTTTTGATTCGCAAAGGCCATTTTTTTCATAGGGAAATTTAGGAGGCAAAGAATGAAGCAACTATCACGGGGGAATTCTTCTCTGGTCTCGGGGTTTCTCCAACCCGTGTCACGGGGGGAATTCTCGTCTGTCTCTATATCTCGTCTGCTTGAGGTACCGGACAGGGAAAGTCACTTAAACTCTACAGTCAAATAGGCGCACACAACGAAATACGTTTCAATAGCTAGTCATTAGCCACATCGAGAACGCCTCGAGGCAAACTGCCTCGTCTGAGCCTCTCTGCCCAGCACGGACCAAGACCCCCTCGCCTCGTGGAGTTCTCTCTCTCTCTCTCTCCTTGTGACCAAGGACTTAGTCTGTTTATTACAAATCAAAACTTAACCAATTACAAAGCAGTTTAAAGACTCTAAGGCGTGGCCATCACACATTCAACTTGCATATAGCCAATCAAACTAAGTACTGGACACGTCATATCTTTTGATTAATCATTCACTATATTACTAACTGCGGATACCCAACTGTCAGAAATAGCGGTCCGGATGGCACCGGTTATATCGTAATTAGTTCCAAATCACTGAGTCAAGTTCCGTCCAGGACCTCGCATGAGCCTAAATGATGACAGACATAACACAGCCATTCACTAGTAATCAGCTAAACAAGTCGGACAACAGATACGCGAAAACTAATACACATGGCGACAAGTATGTGTTCACAAGGCGAATTGCTAATTGCCTCACCCATTTAGTGACGCGATTCTTTCACTTATTCGAAACCTTGTATATCCCATTATGTGTCGGATTGTTGATTCCGAAAACTTAATTATAAGAACGTTTGTGCATATAGTATGTAATTCACAACAATATTAGGAATTCACTACATGTGTATTATTTTTGAGAATTAGTTATTATGTTATTATTTCGTTATGCGCAAATTTAATCCATTTCTGGAGCAACATATTGATTCTGGAAGTTTTATATTTCATTTGAAGCCGGTTTACAAGATGTTATTCAGGAGGCAACACTCTGAGCAACGTATTTTTATTTTTCTCATATTACTTCTGTTGTTAAAGGAGAAAACATATATGATGTTTATATTATAAATACGAATTAGCTTTAATATTTAGCTTGATTTGTCGACTTAGTTCTTTACTGATGGATAGTATCAACTATGTTATAGGACCTGTTATTTATACATTGATTGCCAGTGATCCAGACAATGATGCCATAGTATTTGGTATTCAGACTGGCAGTGACTACTTTGGGGTGGCAAGTCAAAACAATACACACGCTAGAATCAATCTCGTTAAACCGTTAGACTATGAGGTGAGTATCACTCTTGATATAATTCAATTAATAAACCCATTATTGTATTTCATGATAATTGTATAAACGTAATCATTGCCACTCAGGAATAAAACTGAAAATGTGAGATATTATTTATACAACGTAACACCATAAGTTACAGCATACCGTATTTGTATGGCATGTTACGGGGTATTTCAATTCTACCGTATTAGAAAATGCGAATTCAAAATATGGAATGATTAAGCGCGTAAGCTTCCTCTAATATTAAAAAAACAAACATGGCTGCCACAATGGTTTGACCGGACTCCGCACAAAGACGTTCGCTGATTCTGTTGTAAGCTTTAAGGATTTCGGCATTTCCATGATGTATCATTGGGAGAAAAAGATGTACAATAGTAAGGTTATTACGAGGACGCCGCAAAGTATGCACTCCGACAACACGCCGTCGCATCGACCTCCGCTGATACTTCGCTGTACTGTCTTCGTGCATATATTTCTCGTAATGACCTCATAGTATTTTTATTTGCAGACTGCAACACAACACCAAATAATATGGACTCTGAATGACGGCAATAACATCCCGGTTAGTAAATTTAAGTGAACACTTAAACCCTTAGGAAGTTCCACAATAACCTTATCAAAAACGTGTCTTCAAATCACTTTGTAAAAATACTCTCATCGTTAACTTACATAACAATGCCTTCTACGAGTAAGTAATATTTAATTGATCACTTCATTTTTATTTTACTATTTATTCACAAGTATCAAATTTATCTCAAATGTAAGTAAACCAAATGTAATTTTACTATTTCCTGCCAAATAATATAACACGTTTAAAATTCAACTAGTACATTTTTGTTTTACAGGTTGAAACGGATATTACAATTTATGTTGTGGACGTCAATGACAATGCTCCGTTGTTTATCGGAGCACCGTATACAGTTGCAGTGACGGAAGTAGGAGCATGAAAACATATTATAATCATTTATTGCACAAACGTTACATACATTTAATCTAGTCTGTGCATGACTGTCTTTATTGTAGACTATTTCCAACCGTCTTTTTGGGAACATGTTGTGTTGTATAGTATAGTGTAGTGTAGTGTAGTGTAGTGTAGTGTAGTGTAGTGTAGTGTAGTCTAGTCTAGTCTAGTCTAGTCTAGTCTAGTCTAGTCTAGTCTAGTCTAGTCTAGTCTAGTCTAGTCTAGTCTAGTCTAGTCTAGTCTAGTCTAGTGCAGTGCAGTCAAGTGCAGTGAAGTGAAGTACATTGCAGTGCAGTGCAGTGCAATGTAGTGTAGTGTAGTGTAGTGTAGTGTAATGTAGTGCAGTGTAGTGTAGTGTAGTGTAGTGTAGTGTAGTGTAGTGTAGTGTAGTGTAGTGTAGTGTAGTGTAGTGTAGTGTAGTGTAGTGTTTCCCGTGGTCATGATTTCAAAGCTCGTGTGTAGCATGTTCATACATTATATGTTCAGAATATATTTGCATGCCATTCCATTTTACTAAATGGTGTGGTGTGGTGTGGTGTGGTGTGGCGTAGTGTAGTGTAGTGTAGTGTAGTGTAATATAGTGTAATGTAGTGTAATGTAGTACAATGTAGTGTCGTGTAGTGTAGTGTAGTGTAGTGTAGTGTAGTGCAGTGTAGTGCAGTGGAGCAATGCATTAGTGTAGTGTAGTGTAGTGTAGTGTAGTGTAGTGTAGTGTAGTGTAGTGCAGTGTTTCCCGTGGTCATGATTTCAAAGCACGTGTGTAGCATGTTTATACATTATATGTTCAGAATATATTTGCATGCCATTCTATTTTACAAAATTATCATTACACAACAAGATAGGAGTAGGATGCATTTATATATTTGGTGG